ATATATGGTACAGACCCCAGGGGCACATACAGACATTAAAAAGATAAGGAGAAATAAGTGGAAGGGCATTATTTTGCTTATGGTTTATCAACTAAAAATGTAAAATTCTTATAATATTGAAATAATAATTGAATTCAATTCAGTTTTATTTAATAAAACAAAAAATAAGACTAGAACTTTAATCAAGGTCCTGGATGCGACAGTAAAGTACAGTGGCATCTCAGCATTCACAAGGGTTCAGTGCAGACAAATGTGAAAAAGACCAAAAGCAACATGTACTCAAGCCCACCCCTACACTGTTGCATAACGTACTACAGTATATAGTACATATGGTTAAACACATAAGTAACCTTCCCTTATATGATAATTAAAGTACTAATGCATTGGCTTTAATTTAATGAAGAACCATTGATCAACTAAAACTTGGTACTTGCGTAGGGGGAAGGGAGAGACTCACTAACACGCTCAGTTCAGCTCACAATCTTAGTCTGTGGCACACTTCATTTGAAAGTTGCACTTAACCACCTCCAGCTCAGGTTTTTTTTGCATCCAAGACCTTGTCAGCCAGACCGAATCATGAATAAGGGAGTTCGCGAATGTTAAATTTGCAGATATGGAGACCCTACTGTAATTTAAAAATGCAATCCCTGAGAGAAAGCTAAGCTTTTTTCTTTTTTCCCCAGTACAAAACTGTGTCAAATGTGTGTTGTGATACACTTCAGCTGTCAATCTACAGTTTAAAAAAACCACACAGGCCCTACAGCATAGTGTTCCCATTTGCTTAGCTCTTAACAACTAAAAGACATATTTAAAGACAAATTTGACACATTTCACTGAGTTACATATCTTGGTCACTCTTCTGCTCCACTCGTGCTTTTTGATAGCGTCTTCGGAAAAAGCCACACTGAAAAAAAAGAATAACAATATACAGTACATAATCCTGTACGAGGAGATCTGATTATTTGTGTTGGTAGTGTAATGTGGGCGGAGCAAGATGTGTGCATGTGTCTTGTTGCATGTCTAGGACTATTGTTTGTTTTTGTTTTTTGTAGTTTTAGATGGTGATGCCAAAGACACATTTCCACCCTTTCTGAATGGCCAATAAAGAGGTTATATCTGTATTCTTGTACTCATAGCAATTTGAATCTCTACTAGTCTAACCCCCCTAGCAGGAGGACCTCAGAATGTAAGACAGTAATGAGGCTGTATCTCACAGGGCACTGTGTCTTCAAAGAATCCAGGTTTGGCTGTCAATGACCAGGAGTGCTCATATTAGACACCCTCATATTGGATTTACTGGTCATCAAGTACAATTATTACAGCAGTATTTCAGGTGCGGAAGCTTTGATACTTTGTTCAGTAAATTACCTCCTGAGGGTTGAAGGCTGTAGTAGGTAGATTTTTCTTTATTCTTTCTGAGCGCTTTAAATGATGGTTGCATGATCAAAACCCAGTTTTTGTGTTGCCTGAATAAATCTCTTTACATATTTAGTACCTTTTTCATGATCTCCCCATTTTAACATTGGCATTCCTAACTGAATTCATTATTGTTATTATTTTCAGATTATATTGGTAACACTAGATCTGATTTTGTTATTGTGATGATATCTGCTGAACAAAAATGCATCAATATGCAATTTATTTTAACATAACCAAAACTTCAAGTGAATGCATGATGTTTCCATGGTTAAAAACTGACTGTTGTCAGTGTCCCACGCTTTGACTCTGTAAATCTGATCACTAAGAGGTGACAGAAGCCAACAGGTGACGAGACAAAATTAGAAATCTCTTTTTATATCCCCTGGGATGTTCTCCTTTTCGAAGGCTGAGAACAAAGGGTAGATTGTTCACAATTGGTATGACAAAGTCTAACCCGGATGTGGCACTTCCAAGTGTATAACAAGGATACTTGATAAATGAAAAAAAGAGATACCTAAGAAACAGAATAGATTTCATTACAATTATCTTTTATCAGATCTCATTGAGGATTTTCACAAGAACCGTGGGCAACCGGATTGCTGTATCTCGATTGGAAGCTTATGGCTTTTGCAAGCCCTCATAACTTTCAGATAGCCAGAAAAAACCCTGCTCTGTGGAGCTACAGAAGCTACAGCTTACCTTTATTAGGATGAGGATTAAAAAGGCCAGGAAGACAAAGCCCCCGATAGAGCTCCCGACAATCACAGCCATCGACTTCACCACAGTCAGCTTCTCAATGGTCACCAGCACCTGTAGGGGAGAGGCGGCGTGAGCAGAGGAATCGGGCAGAACTGTTTCCATCCTTGTACACAGAACCTCAGTGTCAGCGTGTCAGTGGCCATCGCAGCTTGAACTAGTGGTCAGGGTTATGGACTCAAGTGTAAGGTGGGGGGATTGAATCCTGGTTGGGCGCCATTGTGGGAATCCATGTTGCTGAAGCTGATAACATTGGCTTTTTCTCCAAAACCGCCTAGGTAAGATCTTGGGATCAATTAGCTGCCAACTACCTAGACGGGCCAATTGGCCTCCTGATGTTTGTCAGCTTTCTCATGTCCTTACTGCTGTCTGCTATGATCAGCGTTTTAGGTGCATAATAAGAAGCCTCCTCACTCTCTTCCACCACCTGCCGAAGTATTGAGAACAGGAGGTGGACAAACCTTGCAGGAGGCAAAGAAGTGTCTGGGGAGTCAGGCACTCTTTAACATGCTCTGCTGCTTTTTAAATATGTGGCTTAACACTGAGCTTGGTACTTGAAATCTGAAGGAACCAGGTCAGGCTGCTGGCAGTCATTCCTCTACATGCTCTAAGAAACAGCTTAATGTAAAGCTTGGATCAATAAACGGGCTGTGTTGACGTTCTCATACGTCCATGCTCTCACAGATCTGAAGCAACTGACATGGATGAAAAGAAGTGTTTTAATGTACCTCTTCATATCGTCCTCCTTCGTCTGCCTCGTACTGAGCGGAGTCAAAACTAAGAAAAGCTCTAGCTGTTAGATTTTCCCGCTGATCCTGCAATAAAAGAGAAATGCAGATTGTTCCCATAATTCAACTGGGGGGACGAAGCTGCAGAAAGGTTTCGCTCCACGGCGATCATGCAGAGTGAACATGAGGCTTCACGGTTGGGGCATTACTTGAATGTACAGAAATTCACCCAGGTTTCTCCAGTCCTTCAGGAATGAGCAGGAAGCTGGTAGCACGCTGCACTATTAATCGGCAGTTTGGACTGTATAATACATTGAATGAAACAGTTTTCATCATCCCCAATAAATGGGGGGGTTTGCGTTCTTGGTTTCAGCGATGAGTCGGGGACACTACTTGGGGAACGTATAACAGTTAATCATCAATCGCTGTTTTCGCTTATTTAAGACATACATTGTCGTACCTTTATGCTGATAACAGCCACCGATGCTTCCACAGTCAAGAGCTCGTCCAGTTCTTGCACGGTGCAGGTAAGTCTGTAAGTCTATGAAAATTACAGAGATAAATATAAATGGGTTGTAAGAATTATTTTCATTGTGTGTGTGTTAAACTTAAGCTGCTGCACCTAGTTAAGGAGGAGTATGGAACTTGGAAATTGATAAAGGGTTGCTACTGGTTACGAACTCATTCAACTGCTTTTTAAGAGCTGAAAGCATATTTTTAAGCATGCTTCAAGTAGAAATTTTAGTCTGAATAAGTAAGAATTTGGTGGGGTCAAAAACAAGATGATGCAGGAGTTTACCCAGGAGCAGAGCTGGGAACAAATGCAGTTCAAAGGCAGCATCATGCATCACGTGATGGTGTAGCTTACCTTTCCATTATCTTGAGGTTGAGCGCTGCAGTTTGTTGTGTGCCTCTGAAAGACATTATGTTAAGACTGAGCCAGTTAGAGAGAGAACCTATACTGCATACTCGAATACCGGAAGTGAAACAAATTAAAAATGATATTTACCGCTTTGTAGCTCACAATGGTCACCTGTGTGTCTCTCTCTTTCAGTGGAATGTCGATGTTCACAACAATGTTAGCATTGTACCTGTTTTCTCCATGTATCTGCATAGAAAATTAAAAACTTGCAGTTCATTAAAAAATGAGTGTCACACAGAAATATTTTTCCAAGATGTAATATGCTGCAGGGAAGACAACACTGGAAGATGCATCATTGGAGATGACAGGACTCTAGAGATGTACAAAACATAACAAAGGCAAAACGAAAAAAATAATAATGGTATGCTTTTTTAAAAAAAAAAGACTTCCCTTCCTGTCTGAACAGTTTACTTGCCTGGAACAGGTATTCCAGCTCCTGCTTTTTGCCCATTGACTCTTCAGTCACATGTATGTAAGCTGGTTTAGCCTTCCTGTAGGCAGGAAAAGGAAACATTAGTCTTGTGCAATGTTCTCCAAAAATGTCTTCTCAATTCAAGAACTTACCCAGTAAGGCTGACTTTAAGGGCGTTTTTAACTGCAAATCGGTAGGTTTCTTCAGTCAGCACTTGGAGACCATTATTTTCACTATATGAAACAAAATAAAAAAAAAGTAATAAGTGAAGTTTCTTTCCCTAAGAACAAACTGTAAATGTATTGACAACTAGGTATAATTGACACCATTCTTCCTATCAATTATATTGCAAACAAGTGTTGTAGAGTACACAACTATATATAGTATCCCTTTAAAATATTAAGTTCAGTTTCAGTCTCTCACTTCGACATTAAATAATTGGTTTGGCACAATCAATTATTTAGATTGGGCTTTGGTGGAAGAACTGAAGTCGGGCCCAAGCTTTAACACAGAATGAAACCATAATGGACATCCAAAGTAAAAACGCATCACTTAGAGGTTCAGGCATTTTTTACTCTCTCTCTCTTCCTTTTCAGAGATAAAGCTCACTTACCATGTAATGTTAGCAGTGATTTGGGTGCTGTTTTCCTGTATTTTATGAGACTCTTCTATCTGCCAGGAGATGGTGAAATTGACCTTAAAAGTACAAAGAGTCTTGACAACATTGTGATGGTGTAAGAAAAAAGACCAAACCTTACCACTACGCCTTACAAAAGGTTATTGACACACTGAGTATCCTTATGAAAGCACAAAATCAAATACTGGATGATAAACAGGAATTTTCATCACAGCTTAAGTTAACTTACTTCACTTTGCGCCTTCATAACTGGATATCGTATTTGACAAGTCAGTTTTGTGTTATCAACTGGATTTGCACAGGAAATGCCCTTATTCTCCTGTAAAGAGGGAAGAGGATACTGCTTGAGTTAAAGGAATTGATGGTGATGACATCAATCACTTTCTGGTCAATGACAACATGACTGAAAATGTAATTCTAGGGCTGGCTTATTAAAGCCTGCGAGAGGAGTGGTTTGAAGTTTTTTTTTTGTAGTCTGGTTCTATTCCAACCGGTTTGTGAAATGAAATAGGTCATTTTAAATTAAAATAGTTTCTTCCGAGTTTTTTGTTTGGCAACATGTATTTGAGCTGTCAAATAATTTATCTCCTCTGAATATCATTTTATTTGAGAAGATATGAAATTATATTATCCCCATATTACTATAAAATAGCTAATGATTATTACTGTTTAATATTTATTTAAATGTACTTGGTTTTGTTAACAACTAAAACATGAACTATGGTGTGGTATATATATATATTTTGTAGTGTACTGAAAAGAAAGCAGTCCCTGAGCATTCTTCTGATGGGGAAAAAATGAAAATAAACAAATTGTATTTTTGGGTTGAACAGCTACAATTGAAGAGTTAATGCCTCTAATCCACCCAAAATGAAACTGGGTAAAATCATTGATAATGACTAACTGAAGTGTTAAGAGTTAAACAAGGGTGAGAGAAGTATTACCGTTAACAAGGACAGCTTGTTGTACTGAAGGAAATGGGGATAAGTTAAAACCAGTATGGTCATGTGGGAGTCTTCTCCGATGTTCTTCATGTTAAAGCCTAAGCTGAGATCCTTAGTAGATCCAATAACCAGTGTTTTATCCCTGGGAAAAAAGATGTTTAATGAAATAAATATTAAATAAATGTTTTCAGAAGGTATTATACTGCCTGTTGAGGACACCCAGCAGCATGGCAGGAGATAAATCTGAGCCTTAACGCCTCCGGTAACTGCTTTCATCCTGAGAGTCACACTGAGCCTAACTTGGAAGCCAGGGTGGAAGGACCGTGGAAGAGATGCCAGGCCCTGCAGGGTGCACACCTTTACAATAATTAAGGGGAAAATTTTGAAACGCCAGTTTACTTGATTGGCTCTGGGAAGAAACGGGAGCAGCTGGAGGAAAGCCTTAAGAACCGGAAAAGCATGCAACCTCTATCCTAGCCGCTGAACCTCCTCACCATGCTAGCGAGATGCAGCACAGCTGTACAGGTGTAGGGATAATGGTGTTAAGATCGATAGGTGTTCTACAATGTTAAAAGCTGTGCTCTTGACTTATTTTTTTTTTTTATCTGGTAAGAGGATAATGCGAAATTCTGCTATTCAGGTTCAGTAGAAACTGGGCTAAAGAGTTAACCGAATAAAATGACGTTCAGATATGTCCCTCCACCCAGTGATGATCTAAGAAAAGAGCTTACTGGGGCAAGCTTGTTGACAAGGTGATGTTTGCAGTGCATATCTTGTCCGTTCCACAGTTTGTTTCAAAGGGAAGCTGAGGGAAAAAAATAATAATAGCATTGAGCAGGGCTTACAGGCCAATCTGAATTTAGTGTAGACCAAAAAACATCTTGATGTTTTAGGACAAGCAGCTAACAGACATATAAGAAGGACCAGGGAGCCCTCTCTTATATTAAAAAAAAAATACATGGTCTTTTGTCCTTATCCAAATCCATGCTTAGCCAAACATGGTATTCTGAAGAGGTGTAACAAATGCTGTGCTGAAGAGTATAAATTTGTCACACAAGTAGATTTGATTGAATCCACTGGCAGAGAAACCTCTCATCCCTGTTCTGAACAGCAAATATTGTTGCCATTCTCCCACTGGGTTGTGCTTCATGAAACTGAAATGATTTAACATAGTGTCCTGTTTCCGAATTACCTTTACTCAGATGAGGATCTAAGAGAAAAGTCTCATGTCTGAACTAGGCCACACAGGCCTGGAGAGAATATCAATTCTGATGCACACTTTTACCTGCTGGGAGATCTCATTGGGACTGAGCATATCGAGAACTCTGAGTGGACGGCTCTCAGAAGAGAGGTTTAGAGTGAAATTGAGTTTAATCTCTACAGGTGAGAAACAATCATCGGCGCATTCCTGGAGTAGACAAAAAAAAAGCATGGAATTCTTTACCAAAGCAGCAGTATCATTTATCCACAACTGTACAAATTCAACTCAAATGTAGCGCATATCTTCTATAAGTTATAGTGATGTCCAGCCCTGAGCTCCTTGTTACATCCTAATACCAGGTAATTATGAAGTTTGTTCCATTTCCGCTGTTCATATTTTACACTTGGTTTGTTACTGTTTCAGCGTGATTATGGACAAGAATGAAAAAGCTCCTAAGGAAGAGCCACTTCACGTTCGAGTGGTGACCACAGGGGAAAGGTGCCACTGCCGGGCTAGATGACTTCAATCTGTTACAGCTCAGCATGCTGTAAGAGGGCCACAGCCACACACTTTCAGCTATGCACTTGTCTCTGAGTGTCTCCAGCACGTACCAGGAACTGTAGAAGGATGTCGGGCAAGCATTCCATTGTGTTAGTGAGTTTGAAAATACCAGAAATGGATTTGGGATCACCGTTCGCAAAAGACAGTCGTTTTTTCTCTTTGTTTGGGTCGAGGACCAGGTGGTAGTGAATGGGTAGTTCCTCTGTTTTTTCTACAGGAAAGAAATGTACAAAATGAAGGAAAATGGAAGTGATACAGAACAACAGAGCAAGAGTATCATATACACCTGGTGACAAATGAGCACAAAGTCTTGGGTTCACCTTTTTTTGGTTTTTGTCACGTTGGGTGAAATCTTGGATGTGCGCCCTCATGTAATGAGCAGTAAGTCATAGATTAGGAATATTTTCTAGTTAGGGTTAGAAACATCATTAAACCTTGGTTTCAGCCAGGTCTATTTTTGCATTTCCCATGACTTAATAAAGATGGGCTGTGGTGAGAGGTTTGACATGAGAGTTTTGTGAGAACTAGGTGGATACTGACTGTAGTTAAGACATTTCTTAGGAAGAGCCAGTCAAACTTTTTCATTCAGCTCCTCTGCTGCATAATGTTACGCCTTTGGCTTCAGGGGGCAGGACTTCCTTTAAAGGACTTGTAACGGATTGGTTCAAAAATAGCTCTGGGCACCCTTCTTGTTTTAAATGCAGCGATCTGATTAGTCAAAATGTTTTGACAAAACATGCATGCTCTTTCTGCATGGACTGGTACAATGTCACACTTACACTGAATCTGACTTGGGAGACGTTCCATTAACTGACTCACTATAATTCACTAGCATTTCTAGTATCATAAAAAAACAGTGATGTGCAATGCTATGCTTCATAGATTGGATGGTCTCTAACACTAACGTAACATTTAATTGTTTGGTGCTTCCTGGCTTTGACAACAATAAATGACTCTCCCACCATATGATACTGAAACATGGATAAAATAATAATTACACACTTACTCTTAATCTCTCTTTTAACTGAGTTAAAGCAGATTTTTGCAGAAATCTTTTTAGAATCCTGACCACTTTGCTTATTCAGGGAAATGTATGGAGGGTCTAACGTTACTTGAGGTTTGAAGACGATGACAGGCAGTGAGCTAAAAGTTAAAAAAAAGTGTATACATTATGTATACATCAAGCAACATTACATTACTAATACAGTATAAATGGAGTAAGCATTATCTGATGAATTGTGTTCAGTAGTAGAGAAACCTAGGCTTTAAATTGGGATTTTCCAGTTTCTCAGTTCAGTAATATGACAAGTGGCCTTTATAGTTACCTATTCCTAATGTACCTTATTGTTCCATTTAGCAAATAATTTAATGAAGGCACCGCTTGTCTTTGGGGGATGACAGGTATTCATATTCTTGTTCAACTTGATTTCAAAGAGGTTTAATTTAAGCCACCCTCTATTTAATTGCTCACAACTAAATCATTCCATGTCTTCCAAGATCAGCAGCTTAATGGTGGTTTCTGAATTCCACTCACCTGGAACATTTTAGAAATGCCAAGCTAAAAAAAAAATATGAGTACACTAACACAACCATTAATAAAACATTTAAACTGTACATGAGAAAAATATAATTTAGTTTAATGTTATTATGTAATGCTCATCTATTATATGTTATAAAGCATTTATAAATGAAATTTGCAGCTTTTAAAGTGTTATTCATTATTTTTACACTTTTAATGTACCACTAGGGTGTCCTGAGTCAACCTGCTGAGCCAGTAGCATGTCAGAAAGAGTTTATTTTTAATTAGAAAAACACTTTCTGAAATGATCCAGCAATTCAGCCTCCGTGTCCGGACTAAATGATCGGCCCCGTGCGGTGCAGCGTACCTCAATACAGTGACCTTCCCCAGGCTTCCCACACTGATATCTATTTGTCCATCTTTATCCAGGTCGGACATCCCACTCACTGACTGACCGAAGAATCGTAGCTTCACATCGAAATCAGCCGCTGCTATTCTCTGAAATAGACCAGGATTATTCACAGCCTCTGTTCTGATCTCCAGAGCAGTAACTGTTACAGCTGCACTAGGTTATTTTATTACTTGTGCATCTAAAAGATTGGATATCCAGTATTCCCTGGAATGGACATGCGGCTCCGTCTAATTCATTTACTCCGTCGACTCCTGTATCGGCTGTGGTTTCCCAACAAGACGGAAAAATAACGAGTGGTTAAAAAAATGACTTCAAGATTGAAAAACAGAAAAATCAAGGATACAGCCCAGAATAAATAAAAAAATACCTTCAAACCCTTTTTTCACTATCAGTTGGAAACACAAACTGCTCTGACAAACAAAAACCCATCAAGTATTGGGATCTAATTTTCATGGGTGAATGGGTCAAGCTTTGAAAATCATTACTGGTGTATTTTTATAATCACTTTGGCTTTTACTTGCTTTAAAAAAGCGACATTAAAAACCATCATTACTTTTAAAAGCAGAAAAGTAGAGGATATATAATAAGTATTTTAGTGCAGAAGTGTGAGTCAGATTCAGCAGAAGAAAGAAAAACATTTTTGCCACACACGCTTATCAATCAGTTGGGAACAGAATACAGTAAAATTTAGTACCAAGAAGTGATCTTTCTCAGTTCCTGGTTTCATATGGAGAGCAAAAACGTCCCCATTGGCCACTAGATGGAGTAACAGAGTAATGTCAAAGGATAACAAATTGATGAGAAGGGTGTACTATACTGTACTGTATTGTGATTGTGCACAGTGCCCTCAGCATTGTGAACAGTAAAGTATAAACTACAAATTATGCTTGATTGTAAAGCACGCTGTATTTTTTATATGAAATGAATGACTCATGTGCAGGAAAGGAAATGCTTTACTCAATGTTTACTAGTTTGGAATAATTTACAGCTGGGCCTAGTCTAAACCAAACGTTCCAGGCATTTGTCTGAGGATTGTAAATCTTTTTTTTTTAGATGGACAATTCTCTTGCCTGCGAGTGATGGTCCTTGATCCCATTTTCATAGCCGTTGTAAATGTAGATGCTCCCTGATTTTCCGTCTCCTTCCATTGGAGCTCCAACTGCAATGTCGTTGTAGCCGTTGTCGTCGATGTCCCCGATGTTGGCAATCGCTGATCCGAACCTGGCAAAGGTATATCTGTTCATTCCCCGCCATTCCGATTCCTTGATGAAGAGCCCCTGTGGAAATCCAACATTTTCGCAAAATCAGACAGAGAGAACAAGGCACTCTTGAAAAGGAAACTTATTTGTTTCTTCTGTAAATAGTAGAAAATAAGAAATGCTCTAAAGAACAGAATGTCTTTGGGCATATTTTTCAGTTTAGTAGCTAAAGAAATGTAAGATTTTATCCAGATCCAGGTGTCTCTTTCACACATTCTTCCAGACTGGTCTTCGGTTTAAGAGTTTTAAAGATGATTGCTCTGAGAAGCCGAGTGTGTTGAATTGGTTTTATTTCCTGTAGATGTTTATCTTCATGTCTTTGGCTTCTTCCGACTCACCTGGCTCAGTCTGTAGACATAAACTTTGCCTTCTTCTCCTTTTTGGTGAAACAGTGGAGCTCCAATTAAGAGGTGGTCTGTGATGCCATTTTTATCGGTATCAAGAACACAAAGCTCAGCACCAAAATAAGAGCCCACCTATTTGTAAAAGAGAGGACATACATTTAGGTTACGTTTCAGAGACAACAGGAAATTGATTGGTAGTGTGTCACTTAACACTCTAAAACCATAATGAAAACATTTGTGTTTAAGTCAACATTCTGTGCTGAGCTTTTGGTATCGTGGTCTAAAATGCAAG